CTCCACGGCACATCACCACCACCACCAAATGCATGTAAAAGTTGCATAATGAATAAGGTAAACCGAAGGAGAATTAAAGGCTTTGGATTATGATGTTGGCAGAAAATATGAAAGTACCACGGACTACAAATAAACAAGTGTGTCTTGGAAGAAGTACAACCAGAATGCTCCTTAGAAACCAGGATGACACTAATTCGTTCCACATATGTTGGGCATGTTATCAGCAAGGATCAGTCCTGGAGAAGAATATCATGCTTGGTGAAGTAGAAGGGCCGCACTAAAGAGAAAGATGCTCAACCAGATCGATTGAGAAACAGTTGCAATAATGGCCTCCGGCATCACAATTGTGAGGGTGGGACAAGGCTTAGCAGGGTTTGGTTCTGTTGTACTTAGAGTCGCTGTGAGTCGGAACTGACTCACCACTGACAAAAGCAACAATCTTTATGAATAATTGTTTGCCATATCTTTCTCCCACAGAGCTGCTGGTGAATTCAAAGTAACACTTGCCTGCTAACCAGACAAACAATGCTGCAGTTTGAATTTGTGTTTTGATGTGTGTCTGTTGAAAGCTCAGAGGGACATGAGTTAATTTTTGTTACCATAATGCTGCTTAGCATACAATCTCAGAATCTCTGTGGCTGAAAAACGCAAACATGATTGTCACTGTGGGGTTGTCAACTGCAGGTTTCTCCAGGTATCCTGGCTGAAGGGACAGCACCTGTCTGGTCACCTCAGGCCCTCAGATTTTGGAGGGCAAATGGAAATACAGATGGCCCCTCAGAGAACGTGCACGCTGCCTTTCCCACCTAGATTCTGCCCCACCTGGATTCTTGTCCCATGGCCCCATCACTGCAAGCTGGACTAGGAAGCCAGTCTTGAGGGTGTTTATAGTGAGAAAGAACCAATGCAGCCGACCACAGGAGGTTCCCCCAGTGATTAAAAAATGCCCCCATGATAGAAGGTCATGTTGGACTCCTCTGGACTCATGGTACTGGTAGGGCACTCAGAAAAAGATCTCTTTCTGGAATGAGAGGTTTCAGGTGTCAATCTTATAATTAAAAATAAATAAAATAACCATTGAGTCAGTTCTAACTCACGGCGGCCCTGTGGGTTTTAGAGTAGAACTTTGCTCCCTGTGGTTTTCAATGGCTAAGATGTCAGAAGTAGATCACTAGGCCATTCTTCCAGTGAGCCTGTGAGTGGGTTTGAACCTTCAACGTTTCAGTTAGCAGCTGAGCTCTTAACCGTTGGAACCACCCAGGAACTGACCAGCCCCACACAGAACGCTAACTCTTCCTCCCCCCAGGTCTCGGTTCTTCTGAAGACTCTGATTGCTTACTGTGCTCTGGAGACCTTTTCAGGGCTGGCATTTTCACATGTGAACATGTTTTCATCTCATTTTCACGTTTCACATGTGAACAGGTCCTTTGTCACCCCTACATGCCTTGGCATTCAGGGCTGCAGTGAACATGGTCCTCCCCAAGGGCCTGGCGTAGGGACAGAATTCAACCTGCAGTCCACTAGCTCAGGTCAGCTGTGAGGCGTCTACAAACAAGGGAAAAGCAAAACAAACCCCTAGTTGCTCACTGAATCATTTCTGTGTCAGAGTAGAGCCGTGCTCCATGGCCTTGTCAGTGGCTGATTTTTTTCTAAGCATGCCACCACCAAGGCACCTCTGGGTGGATTTGAACAGCCAACCTTTCAATCAGAAGCCAAGTGTGTGAACCATTCTCACTACCCAAGGACCCCCTCTGGACAGAAGGGACACCTTTTCATAATTTGCACAAAGCCATCATGTAGATAGATGGTGGCCTTGTCCTTGTTTATGTGGTGGTGGAAATGGTGTGGGCTTAGGAATACAACAGACACTTGTTGTTACTGTTAAGTGCCGTTGAATCGGTTCAGACTCATAGTGACCCTGTATAGGGTTTCCGAGAAGCCGCTAGTGAGCTTGAACCACAGACCTTGCCGTTCATATCATACCTTGCATTCCAGCGCATTAACCCGCAGACCCAAGGTGGGTGCAGAACCCAGCTCTAAAATGTGCCCATGCAGTGAGCTTGAGCGGGGTTCAGCTGCCTCACCTGCATGCTTCTCTTGTTCATTGCTCTCAAGTCCATTCTGACTCTTGGCAGCCCTGTGTGTGCAGAACAGAACTGCGCTCCTTGGGGGTTTCAGAGTTGTGCCCTTTCGGAAGAAGGTCTCCAGGCCACTCCCCCAAGGAGCCTCTGGGTGGGTTCAAACTGCCAACCTTTCAGCTGGTAGTTGAGCACATAAATGGTTGTGACCCCCACGGCCTTCCTCACAGTCTTAGACGAGTTTGTTGGGTGGTTTGTACAAAGGACCTAGACCAATATCTGGCAAAAAACAAGCCATCCGTCTTCCTGCCCTCTGCACCCCTTCTGCCTCCAGGCCTGGCCGGCTCTGCAATCTTCCCAGATAGCAGGCGTTGGTTTGGGGCTGAGTTCACTGTACTCACATCATACATAAACTGTCAAATTCAATCCTTTGATGGCTCTGATGGTTTGCTACCCTGTCCTGTATCTTCCAGGTGAAATTGAAAAATATCATCTTCAATCTGGACTCTGCTCAAAACTTCATCAAATACAACGTGTCTACTGTAATTATGGAAGTAAGTTTTCTCTTTTTCTCAAAAACAAGTGTGTCAGAAAGTGGGTGTATCAGCCACACGCCGTGCTATATAAACAGGGGCTGTAGTCATTCTCTGGGAGAAGGGTGGCACGGTGTGCTCCCGTAAAGATTTCCAGTCTCAAAAACCCTATATGAAGTCACTGTGAGCTATACTTAACTTGATGGCGGTGGCTCTGGTTTTTTGGTTTGGCTCTGGTAGCATAGTGGTTATGAATCGGATTGCTAACGTCAAGGTCGGCAATTCGAAACTCCCAGCTGTTCCATGGGAGAAAGATGAAGCTTTCTGCTCCCATAAAGATTTACAGCCTCGGAAACCCTACAGGGTCACTATGAGTCGGAACCGACTCCATGGCACATAACAACAACAGCAGTCATTCTAAGGAGCCCTGGTGGCTCAGTGGGCTAAATGTCAGACTGCTAACCGCAAACTCAGTGCTTCAAACTCATCAGCCACTCCTCAGGTGACAATTGGGGTTGTCTGCTTCTATAAAGATATAAAGTCTCAGATATAAGGAGCAGTGGCACTCTGTCCTGTGGGTCCCTGTGAGTCAGAGTGGACCGGAATGTGATGGTTTGGGTTTTGGTAGTCATTGCAATGGTTTCTAAGGTTGTTTTGTTTGTCTCCCCGCTCTCCCCAGGAAAGCAAGATCTATGCGAATACAATAATCGGATACTTTGAACGTTATGTGCAGTGGCTCAAAGACTCTGTAAGTAATTCTTCTTTTTGAAGAAAAGAGAGGGCATATCTTTGGAAAGCCATTCTTGAGGATAAAATCTAGAGGGAATAAAATGAAACTCACTTTTATTTGATAGGAGGCCAGTAAAGAATGCTGAGGTGTGAAGGCCAAGTGGGGAGATGTCTGAAGGCTCAGCACAGTCTCATCCCCTTGGGGTGACTGCAGGTTTCAGGCACCCTCTCTCTGCTCATTTCTCCCTTACAGATTCTCACTTACATGTCATTGTCTCCCCTGTGAAACAGGGCTCCTGGGTACAAGGTCATGTGCGGGTGAAGTTGGCTACACTCCTTGAGCCACGTGGAGCTTACTGTTTTGTTGTTGTTGTTGTTAAGTGCCATTGAGTCGATTCCGACCCATAGCAACCCTGGATAAGGTTTCCAAGGAGTGACTGGTGAGCTTGAACCGTCGACCTTGCAGTTCAAACGGCTTTGCAGTCTGGCGCATTAACTCACAGCGCCACACCAGGACTCCTTTGTTGGGGCTCCTTAAATATGTTGAAAGAGAAAGAGGGCAGCGGAATGAAGTTTCTAGTGCTTTTCGGGTCCCATCCAATAATTTCTGCTCCCGGTTTTCATTAACATTGGTTACATTCTCCACAATGTGTGAGCACTCTCATTATTTCTGTTCTGGTTCTATCGTTTCTGTGAATTTGGTTTCCCTGTCCTCCTACATTTGCATCTTATCGGGTTATTCATTGATGGGGTGAAGGTTTACAGAGGTGATCAAGTTTTTTATTCAGTAATTCATACACATTCTGTTTCATGTCACAGACTGGAATCCCCACACTCTTCTGAACTTTATCCGGGTCTTTGCAGCAAGGTCTTAGGGAGAGTTGTTGTTGTCTTGTGCCATTGAGTCAATTCCAACTTGTAGCGACCCCAGAGGACAGTGCAGAATGGCTGTATAGTGTGTCCACCACTGTTATCTTTCTGGGAGTGACCACCAGGGTTTTTCTCCTGCAGGGAAGCTGGTGGGTTCAGAACCACTGAGTTTTAGCTCTTCACTACTGTGCCACTAGGATGCTTGCATTTTGGGGCCCTGGGCTGGTTCCCCTCTAAGGATTCTTCCATTGGTGGTGGGGGAGACCTGAGGCTGATGACTAGGTAGGAGCTACTGGACAAGGTGGACTTTGAGAAGTCTAATGAGTCAGGAATTTTTAGGGCTTTTCTGTTGTTATTGTGTGCCATCGAGTTGATTCCGACTCCTAGCAACCCTGTATAGGGTTTCTGAGGAGCGGCTGGTGACTTTGAACTACCTACCTTATGGTTCAAACTGACCTTGAGATCGAGCCTCCGGCACCATACCAGAACTCCAGGCTCCTCCTGAGCAGCCCCAAATTTCTCATATCATGTTCCTTGATCTTGACCTTGAGCACCCAAACCCCCTGGACATCCCTTGCCCCTTTGCGGCCCTACCTCATATTCCAGTCAGCTCTAAACCTCACCTTCTCCGCGTGTCTTCTCCCCACTCTCCACTTCAGCTGTCACCACCTGGGCCAGGTGCAAGGCCCAGCTCAGCAGACCCCTCTTCCTGATGTTTGGGTGGACATCCTCCAGGTGGGGCCTTGAGGTCTCAGTGCTAGCACAGAATGTGGACATGGGTGAGCTGAGACAGAGGAATCACATTAGGACTAATCACCTCCACTGCCAGCATGTGTCGTCCACTAGACTGAGGACCCCGTATGATCACATTTGTACCTGGGATACCAAGTAAACACCTTGGAACTACAGTGACTGGGCGGGAAAGGCACCTTCCTGGGTGTGAGGTGGCTTTGGTACACATTGTCTCAGGGCTCTGGCTGGGGACTTGGAGCGGTTTCACAGCACCTGACTAAGAGAGAGAAAAGAGCATGATGCAAAAAAATGTGCAGAATGTGACCCCTCCACTGTTAATGAACCAACATTGGAAAAAAACCCATAACACTTTAAGGAGCTCTGGTAGTGTGTGGTTACGAATCGGGCTGTGAACCACAAGGTCAGCAGTTCGAAACTACCAGCTGTTCTGCGGGAGAAAGATGAAGCTATCAGCTCCTATAAAGATTTTCAGCTTCGGAAACCCTGTGCAGGGTCGCTATGAGTCAGAACCGACTCCACGGCACATAACCACCACCACCACCTATGCTATATACTTTATATATGTATATACTTATTTAGGAGCTCTGGTAGCATAGTGGTTACGAATCGGGTTGCAAACCGCAAGGTCAGCAGTTCGAAACTACCAGCCGCTCCACGGGAGAAAGATAAGGCTTTCTGTTCCTCAGAAACCCTGTGCAGGGTCGCTATGAGTCGAACAGACTCCATGGCACATAACAACAACAACATATTTATTTATGTTTATGTTGGAGAAAGATGAGGTTTTCTGCTCCCATAAAGATTTACAGCCTCGGAAACCCTGTGCAGGGTTACTGTGAGTCGGAACCGACTCCACGGCACATCACCACTACCACCATAAAACTTTAAACTAGAAGAAACATGAGATTATTACTATGGGTGATATTGGAATGGGTTGATGGAAGGAAAAGAGGAAGGTGAAACTAAAGTCTTTTTCCCATTAAAAAAAAAAAATACTACATTCCTTTGTTTTGGGAGTCCTGGAATGGCCCTGTAGGATAAGCACTAGACTACAAGGTCAGTTTGAACTGCACCTTTGGTGGATCAAACCCATCAGCTGCTCCTCAGAAATCCTATACAAGATTGCCATGAGTCGGACTGACTCGATGGCCTTTAACACCAGCACCACTGTTGTTTTCCGTGAAGGTTAAAACAGCACCACCACCTGCAGTTCTTCACTGAGGTTGGTCAGTATCTTCACAATGTGTGAGTTCATCGTGTATGTTCTGGATCTGTTTCCATGAATCTGGTCACCCTGCCCCTTCCGTTCTCACTGGTTATTTTAAGTCATTGTTAACTTCTTTTGTCTCATGTAGCTGATTTTTTTAAAGGAGCAAAGTACTTGCGTTGTTTTTGTTAAGTGCCTTCGAGTCTGTTCCAACCCATAGCAGCCCTGTTTCTGAGGAGCGACTGGTGAGCTTGAACCGCTGACCTCGTGGTTCAAGCCGATTTTGAAGTCCAATTCATTAACCCACAACGCCACACCAGGACTGGGGGCGGGGGGTGAGATTCATGGTTTATATAAGTCAATTTGTTACTTAGCTACACGTTGGCTGCAGGGTTAGTTTCAAGGATTCTCAGGGAGTCGTTCATGCTCTTCCAGCTCAATAGATCTGCTTTTCAAAAAAAAAAAATGTTTTGTGGCTAAATGACTGTAGCTTCCTTCAGTCACTCATGAGATTGGAGCACCTGCCCATGATTCATTGTTGTTGTTAAGTACTGTCGAGTCGGTTCCGACACATAGCAAC